GAAAGAAAGAAAGAAAAAAAGTATTTTTACTTTTATATAGAATATTTTTCAAAGTTTTTACTCTTTTTCTTTTAACATATATTATTAAGATTTATTATTCTGATGCGGAAAAAGGAAGGAAGAAGGAAATGGTATAAAAATATTTTTTTTATAGCTTGGATGCAGTGATTAATTTCGAATATCTCGTTATGGTAATTACACACGTATCTCGTATCTATCGTTTCAGCAATGCGTGATATATCCTAACATAAAATTGGTTTAATGTAACGCGAAGAAGTTTATAGTTACAGTAAAATATGGCAATGATGACTAGAGAGTAAAACTGAAACTTAATGACTTGTGCTTGCATAAGCTGTCATTCTTTTATTAACTTAATTGTTGGATTAATTCATTGAAGTATAAATTCCATAAAATAATGTTTAGACGATAATTTTGATACTTTTGACAATTTAATGAATTTCAGTTGAATATATTTTACCAATAAATATTAAATTAAAACTAAAAATAATTTGAAATATAATATATGAATTTAAAAATAAGAAATAAGCAAGAATATAATATACGAAAGGAACAAACTACAAATTATTTTTAAATTATTTGGTTTATTATGTAAAAAATTAGAAGATTAATAAAAAATATAAAAATTGTTTTAATTAAAAAAAAAATCTTTTCATTTGTTCTTCATGTAAATTAATAAAATCTTTAATAACACAATAATGAAATAATAAAATAATTAATTAAAATTTAATAACAGATATAATAAAAGGAAATTAAGTTGGATATATTAATCAATCGTATCACGTAGGGTATATTTTATTACATTTTTGAAAAAAAAAAAAAGAACAATATTGCGTATAAAGATTTTTAATATAAATTTGTTGTAATGATCTTTCAATTTTTTTATAATTTTAGGATCCTTTTATTAATAAGTTAAAGTAATAAAATAGTTTCGAATCGTGAAAATTTCAATTCTATCGTCTTAGTCAATTAAAATTTACATTTAACACGCAAAGTATTCTCACGAATATCGAAATCAATATTTTTATACAGACATCGTTCATCATGCATGGAGCAAGAAATAATTGGTGCGTGTAATGAAAAAATAATATAATATCGTTAAAAAGAAAGAATTTTTATTAGTATGCTAAAGAAATAAGATACTATACTAAAGAAATAAGCAGAAATAATTTTCTTCTCCAATCAAATTGTTAATTAATTTTTGACATTTTTTTTGAAAAATAATAGAAAGAAGAATAATTCTCAATGAATGGAATTAATAATTCTGAATTAATTATTAATTCTATTGAATTATTTATAAAATACTATATATAAAATATTGGGATATTACAATAAATATTAAGCAATTTTGATTGATCATAATTTTAATTTTCTATCAAATTCTTTGAAAAATTTCGGATTGGCCAGTTTAGTATATATTTTTATATCTTTGTGTTTTTATTTTGTACGATTTATCAATGAAATAAAATTTTAGAATATTTAACCTTTTTCATAGATATTCTTGATATGGTGGTATATGTAGTATGATAAATAGTATGTAAGAAAGTAAAAAGATTTTATATTAATAATATTTATAACTATACTAATATTTATTAGTAATATCAACGTAATTAATAACATTGTTTAATAAACATCATATCTTGTTTTGTTATATTATAGAATACAAATATTTTAATATAACATAGGTAGAAACACGTACAAATAGAAGAAACTTCTCTTAGCCTAAATAACACATAATATGTTTTTAAGAAGTACGATAAAACAATTATTATATTTTACTAATAAATATTTTAATAAATGTAAATATTTCTTACCAATGATATATCCATTAGGAAGGAAACTGTGCGATTGCAGTTATAATTTTTGTATGTAATTAATTATATACAGTTCCTATTTATAAAAAAATCTTTGTATATTTTGTCTCAAGAATTTTTATATTCTTAATTATTGAAGATTGAAGAAATCTTGATCATCGATGAAAAAGAATTTAAAAATACAAATATAATTTTGCAAAGAACTCATAAAAAAAAAA